TATCTGTTATTTATATTCGGAGAAGGAAATTGTTCAAATAAAAGTTACTTCTAATATTATTATCTATAATTTTTGGTTTATGTCAAATTTTCCTGAAATGGTCCGTATTCGACAAATTTGACAAAATGTGCAAAATTCTGATTTTTAAGAAAATTGTTAAACTAAAAGTTGTTTGCGATACCGATCTCCATAATTTTTGTTTTTACATGATTTTTCTAAAATGGGCCGTAATGAAAAAATTGGAGGAAGTGTTAAATTTAAATTTTTCAGTATTTTCGTTTTCAATCAATATCTATAGAAAAATGTTTCGAGTTAGATGTATGTGGAAAATGTATATATTTAGTTTATCATCTAAATATTTATAGAGGTGCTGCAATAGGTTGTACAAAATAACCGGAAAAAGCCTATAATAACTAGATAGGAAAGTCATGTGTTGGACACATCAGATTTTTTAAATTTGGAGCGATACCTAAAGCTAAAAAAGGCCAATGATCTTAGAATTTTCAAATGGAATGCAAATGGACTGCTGCAGCGTCAACAAGAGCTGCAAACAGTTCTAGAATTAGAATAAATTGATGTCAGTCTGATTGCTGAGACACATTTTACAAAAAAGTCGTTCATCAAATTTAAAGGATATAAAGTGTACCATACAATCCATCCAGATAATGCGGAAAAAGGCGAAAGTGTAGGTAATTAAGGAATCAATTTGACACTATCAAGAAATTGGTTGCCAAACAGTAGAAACAAAAACTTATGAAATTGTGATTAAAGTATAAAGAAGAAACAATACCTTGACTTTCTAGATAGCCAAGAATACAGATTCATAGTGGGAGGAGACTTTAATGCAAAACAAACTCACTGAGGATTTAGACTGACAACAACCAAAGGTAAAGAACTGTTAACATCATGCCCTCAAGATAAATGTCAAACAATGGCAACTGGAAAGCCTACATACTGGCCCACAGATTCGAACAAAATTCCCGATCTTTTTTTTTATAATCAAGAATATCGCCTCAAATTATATGTATATAGAAGAATCATGGGACATGAACTCAAATCATTCTTCCATACTTCTCACATTGAGTGATAATGTAATAAAAATAAAAAATTTACCTAAACTAGTCAACTAAAGCACAGACTTAAAAAAAGAAACGCGAAGAGCTTGGTATAAAATACAAAAGAATGTATTGGTTGCTTGGAAAAAATTCCAAATTATCCACATACAACAAACTGCTTCTTTACAGACAGATATTCAAACCCGTATGGACTTATGGTATCAAGCTTTCGATATGCGCCTGTAAAAGTAACATGCAAATTATTCAACGTTCCCAGAATAAAATATTAAGGAACATCGTCGATGCACTCAGGTTACTGCCGCAATATTGGTCTTCATAGGAACCTTAAAGTGAAGACTGTTGAAAATACAGTACAAAAATTTGCCAGTAACATGAAAACCTTGAGATTATCCAGCTTGTTAACAATGCCAATCTAATAAAAAGACTCAAGAGAACCAAGCCTAAATAATTAGAGTCTAAGGTATACTAGTGAGTAGAATTTTAGTTTATGAAGTTTTTTATCCCCAGATAGGTTAGTATAAAATTGCTTAATTGATCTTAATGATCAGATTATAAAAATCGTGAATGCTTCTTTTCTTGGGGCATTATTAAAAAACAAAATCTTGCAGCGTTGCAAATTTGCATTTATTTATAGGAAGGTATTTAAGCCACTCTGTAAAATTTTCAATACTTTTCAAATTTTTTTGTTACTGCAAAATGTGTGATTTGTTAATTTTTCTTATTTTTTCAAGGTTCCGAGGTTGCAAATTTACCAGATTGTTAAAAAAGATAATATTACCATTTGATACCAATTTTCAAAATTTTTACAGTTTTTGATAAAATTAGAGGAAAATAAACAATTATTTAAAAAACAAAATATATTTCTGTGCAAAAAAAGGTTGAAAATTGCTCTTCCAATAACTTATATGAGTTATGTCATCGGTTTGCAGCACTTTTGCAATTTTTTATCTATGGTATAAACAAAAACGTTATTTTACAAAGAAAATCATGTTCCGGACTTTTAAAAAAGTTGCAAATCTGATATAATGTTGAAAATAATACAATATATATTGCTTTTAGTTTGCAGCACATTTGCAATTTTTTCTCAATATTATAAAGAAAAGCGACATTTTGGAAATGGTTGCAAATTTAAACTTAGTGTTATTTAAACTAGCCAATTATTAATACAAAGTTTAAAATTTTTTGTAAATAATGTGAAACTTTCAAAATACGATGTTTCTATTGACAAATATGTTTGTAATAATTAGCGGCACAAATAAAATTTAACAAAAGCTTTTTATTCGTTTAGATTGTCTTAAATATCGGCACAATTAGTTCTAGAGCATTATAATCTTAACAAGAACCGACATATGCTGTCACTCAATGCAAAGCAATAAATAGATTAACTAATTATTTCAAGTAACTATATTTAATTTATTAAAAATAAGATGTGATTTTGGTCCATACTAATAAAACTATGAAATAGTATGATGTAATTTTAAAATCCGCACATACATTTGAAAAAATATTTACTTACGAATGTCTGATCCAAAAGTAGTAACAATATTAATTGCAAATATTAAACCAATTATCCACATAATTCACTAAATTATAGTCACAAGAAGTCACGGTTATTTAAATTTCTTAGATTACGTTGCCTATTTGATGTATGGTTAGTAAATGCGACGTCTCTGGTTATTTCACTTTCTCTTGTCCACTCTTGAGTTAATACAGCGGTGCTGATGTATATTATTCATACTGCATTTAATTAGCATGACTGCAATAAAAAGACTAGTATTTGGAACATTGTCCCTGAAAACAATACATGTAATACTAATAATTTTGTAATAATAAGAACTTTATTTAAGTACATCTTTTGGATTGACTAAATTCTAACTTATAGAATTATTAAAAATAGTTGAAATGTGAAAAATTATTACCAGCTTTGTAGGATTAAATCTAAGCAGCATCAAAATTAAATAGTTTAATACTAACCTTTCATTTCTTTAAATACGTTAACATATGGTTAACATTATCTGTTGAGGATACTATAAGAATGTAAATAGGCTCTGAAAGAGTTTAAAAAAATAGAATGCATTCCAAACTTTATTTATCTGAATCATTAATCACCTCTCTTAAGCTGGCAGGACCAACTGGACAGAATCGATTTAAATCTAATGCATTTTTAGTAGTATTCATTGGTTTTCGTGTATGAATTGTATTGGCCTGGAGTTTTCGCTGGTAGGCTGGAGGCTGCGTTAACTAAAGTCTAAAGATGGTACTTAATTTTAATTGTTAAAGGTGGGTGTTATATTGAATGTGGAATATTGAATGTTTTAATTTTGTTAATATTTCTTAATTATTTTTAATATTTGCGTGAGTTTGCGTGTTTGAATGTAATTCGAACATTATGTACTGTTTAAATACAAAATTTCAGATTTTGTATCCTCGCTATTGCTTTTAAAAAATTTTCGAACTCCTATTAGCCTCAATAGTAAAGTATCCTTTTGCATGAGCAGATTCAGTCGTCACTTCTACATTAAAAGCAACATAATTTTTACTGTTAAAATATAAAGTTAAAGATTTTGGAAACTATTCCGAACTCCTATTTGCCTCAACAGTAAAAAATATTTTTGTATGAGCAAAATCAATCGTAATTCCTATATTAAAGCAACATAATTTGTTGATTTAAAATATCGTCGGCTTAAAGTGGAAACGTGCTAACTCCGATTTGTCAAAGTTTACAGGAGGATAAAAAAACCTTCCTAAATTGTTTATAAACAAATTTAAAAGAAACTAAAAATTTTATTGGTTCCTTTTAAGTCAATGTATTATTTTATAATATATAATTACATTCTATATTATGTGGTTTTAGTAATATCTAATTTTTTTGGAGTTGAGTGCTTTTCTAGAAATTATTTCTAAAATCTTAGTTGGAGTTACCACATTTTCCTCAATAAAATAAATTGTAGATAAATAAAAGGGTTTTTTTTATTTATTTGAACTAACGAATTTTAGGAAATGTTTGCACAACATAAGAAAACGTTCATTATTTAATTTAAATAATTTCACAAACTGAAGCTTTACGCAAATTAAAGTTTTCAAATAATGAACAAAATAAAACAGTGAAATGAAGGGAGCAATATAAAAATATTGGCATGTGGTATTCTATAGGCAAAGTAGATTTTAATTGTTGAAGATCTTCAAACTTCCTTGCTTTTAAATTTCTTCTTTTCTGCTGAAGTTGCGATTATTGACTCCACTGCAAAGCCACTGCAGTTGTATCTCTTCTTTGAGATAGAATTTGCCATTCATCAAATAATCTCAGTTTAAAGAATATTTCTCCTGTTGGAGTGTACCTTAAGGCACTAATATCTGTAACTTTTGCTTTTCCCTTACCTCGACCAGGGCGAATACTTTTATAAAATTGAACATCTGTAAAATTCTTGAAAAAAATTCTAATGTAAGTAATTTACATCATAAGGACGGGGTTTCTTTCTTGCTGCTCTGCATATTTCTATATAATCGGCTGGAATATTAATAATTTTATTTTTCAATGCACGTTCAACAGTCGAATGAATGCAATCTCCTTCCATTTGCGTATGACCGGGTTCAAGGAATTTTTGCTCGATTGTTATTTTATGTCGGATAGCTGAATTTAGTAAAGCGTTAGACATAACAGAGTTTCGGTTTTGATATGTACATCTGTCAGTATAAAAAATAATTTTAATCAGATCTTCATTTTGAAAGTTAGGTAACACTTTCTTTTCAATTAAATGTAACCAGATACTGGCACTCTTCTGAATTTACTCTTCCTTCCACCTCATTCCATAACTAGAAATAGCCATTCTTGTTAATCAAACTATAAAATGCGAGATTGTGGACTTGTAGCTTGGTCTTGTAAAACAAGCTGCTGATTTGCGATTTTGGAGCCATCAACACCGCTTAAAGGTCGACTGTGAATGCAATTTTTTCTTCTTCTTTATCTTTTGTTTTTTCCGCTCTGGCATCTTCCTCCTTTGCTTGATGTATTGCATACTCTTCCGCCGATATCTGACCAACACCATAACTTGCACATTTCGGGCACTGATCCTTTTTTAGAGAAAATAAGCAGATATTCTTAATGTCAAACATTTCATAATAAACTGCAACTGAGAGGACCCGTACAATACGATTTGCACACCAATCCTCAACATAAAAGTCGTATAGCATTTTCTTAGACGATCATTCTGGCAAAAGATATTTCTTTGCACTTGTAGCACGGCAGTAATGTGATTCAATCGTAGGCAAAGATTCAAAAAATAAATTGTTCCTTCTGAAAATGAGATTTGGAACAAGTACTTTGTTGACCTTGTGATGTTTTGTATTTTGTTACAATTGGTTTCTTAAGCCAATTTAGGACAACGTGGCGACCTAAACAGAGTGTGTTTAATAATAAGGTTCTACACACTTTCAACAGATTATTCCTTACTTTCAAGTGATATTGCAATGTTTGATTTCTTCTAAATTCAGTGTCAACATTTCGATCTCGTGACCTTTTAATGGGAACTTGTGTGACATAGACCTTCTTCTGACCCCAATCCATATTCCAAAAATCTTTATATATCTGCATTATTTTGTCTTCGGTCACCAAAGAACATTTCATGGTACCGGTCTCACTTCTTTGTTTACAGTTACATCTTGGTTTTATAATTCGTGGTTCTTTAGTTTTCTCATAATTCCAGGCATTTTCTTCACGTTTTCTACCATAATATTTTCGACCTTTTCCTCTTAGTTGTTTGTTTCTGTCCGCGAACCAAGTAGATTTTTTGACCTGCACTCTTTTCTTTCGAGTTTTAGATTTAATTGGTAAATCCCCATATGTCTCAGAATCGCTGTTAAAGCCATAAGGACCTAAACCCTGATTACTCTCATCGGATATGAAGTCTTTAATATCATCTACTATATTTGAGAATCTGTTATTTCGAGAATTATTAGGCCTAAATACACCACCTTCAGGCTTATCTTGAATAGATTCCCCGTCATTAGGATCAGAGATTAGACACTGGTCATTATTGTTTGAAAGAATTGCGGTTCCAGTTGTAATTATTTATTCACTTATTCTCCTCAAACGTAGACACTAAAATGCCATTTGCGTTCGTGGAGTGTTCAATGGCATCAACAGGTCATATTGGTGTGAGATTATCGTGTTATGAAGACATAGTATTTATCGCAGATACTAAGTTTTCTTGACAAGCGTCAATAACTTCTATTTCGATGTTATTGACAACTGTATAATTATTTTTTACCTCAAAATGCTCGGACAAAATATCATTAATTTGGAAACTGGCCTGATTTTCACCTATTTCCGGTTCAACTGATGCAGATAGTTGCTGTAATTGCATAAAATGCCCTGGGTCATTCTTAGGTTTCTTTCATCGTATTTTAACATACCAAGTATTTTTTTGCTTCGCCATGCCATCTAAAAAAAAAAAAATAAAACATTACTTAAACAATTTTAAAACAGTTTAATAAGTAGCTTGAATTATAATAAAGTGTGTAGGAAAACGTGCTATTTACATGATAAATAGATTTAATATAAACTAGAAAATGTGCTAACTCCACTGAATCTACGTTATTACTTTATATTGACGAAATAAATAATAAACCAATATTTTCATTAAATAAAATTTGTTTAATTAGTATAATAAACATGTTCTTACCTTATATTGCTTTAGTAAACGAATACGCACTCAATAAGAACTAAAAAACAGGTATTTACTTCGTGCAAGTGCTCATCGGACAAGAGTATAGTATAAAATGGCCATGTGACTGGAGATAGCGCGCTCGATTTGAATGCTGCGCACTTAGCACGTTTACACATCACTCATTTACCGCCAATTTAACTGAATTATCGGGTAAGCTGATTTTCGTACACGATGTGCCTTCTTTTCCTCTTTCTAATGATACCGAAATGTGATTTGAGACGGAAAATGGAGTTAGCGCGTTTACACTCTAAGCCGACGATATAAAGTTTCAGAGTATATACCCTCACCGTTTCTTCGGAAACTTCCGAACTTCTATTAGCGTCAAGAATAAAATATTATTTTGCACGGGCAGAATCAATCGTCACTTCTACATTAAAAGCAATATAATTTGTACTGGTCAAATATAAAGTTTCCAATTTTGTATCCTCGCCGTTCATTCGGAAACTATTCAGAACTCCTTTAGCCTCAAGAGTAAAATATTCTTTTGCATGAGCAGAATCAATCGACACTCCTACTTTAGAAGTAACTTAATTTTTACTGTTAAACTATACAGTTTTAGATTTTGTACCCTCAATATTCCTTTAGAAACTATCTCGAATTCTTAATAGTCTTAAGAGTAAAGTATCCTTCTAAATGAGCAGAACCAATCGTCACTCTTACATCAAAAGCAAAATAATTTGTATCGTAACGATTTTCAGGCAGTTTTGTTGAATATATTATATTTTTTAATGGTACAAATTAATACAAATTCAGACCTTTTCATTTCTTTGTTTTATTAATTTTTTTTTTCGTAGTCCACCTAGATTAATATTAAGCTAGAAACAAAGCTACAAGCGCCATGTGTTTTTTTTTAAACTGGAGCATAGTACTAAAATTTTATTGTTGGTACAAATTATTATTATTAATATTATTATTATTACAAACAAATTAGGGTTGAGGATTGAATCCTATTAAGCCAAAATTACAAAGTTCAATAACAAAGACATTATTAAATAAGTAATTAGCAAATAACATAATGCAAACAAAGCACTAAAAATAAACTTTTAGTTTTCCATAAAAAAGTCATCGAGTCGGTTTTTGAAGACATTTACTGACTGTGTGCAAACAACACGCGAGGGTAAATTATTCCAAGTATAAAAAACTATTACAAAAAAGTTTTGTCGGGTACGTGTTTTAAAATTTTCTTTACTCAACTTATACTCATCTATACTCATAGGCGCTCATCTGTATTCCATGGGAGTATATTATAGAGGTTGGATGAAAAAGTACCATGAAGAATTCTGTAAGTCACAATTAAATCACCTCTTAACCTTCTGCGGGCAAATGAACACACACTCGCCATGTCATTGTAATGAAGTCAATTTTCATTACTATTATTATTATTAATTAATTCCGGGTATTAATTTCGATTTTCAATTAATTTCAACTTTATGGGTAGGCCCTGTATATCCAACCATGGTGGGGTGTTCTGATGTGGAAGGGCATACATCGGCTGAACCACGTCCGAGACTAAATTAAAAATTTCACTTGCTTTTACACCGTCAAATCCAATACTCGATTAAACGCTAAATACCTACGATCCCGAAAATTTATTTCACGCCGCGAGGTAAAGTTTGTTGATAGTTTTTTTTTTTTTTTTTGATAATGTCTTTCGTGACCGAGTCTTTTAAGCCGTGCTATTTGAAACCGATTTAATTTGATTTATTCCGTGTTGAGTTAGGATTTAATTTGTTTTGATTGAAAAATACTTTAATTTATTCTTGTTAGAAAACACCGTTCTTTATAAATTTCATTTTAGTTTATTTAAAGTCTTGACCGATAAATAATTTTTTTTTTATTCAATCGTAGATATAGTCATATAGTTAATTTTTCCTACTACTGGAAATTTCCGCGAATAACTAATAAATTTCATTTTAGTTTATTTGAAGGCTTAACCGTTAATTAATTTATTTTTCATTTAATCATAAATATAGTCTTATAGTTAATTTTTCCTACTACTGGAAATTTCCGTAAATAAATAAAAACTTTCATTTTAGTTTATTTAAAGTTTTAAGCGTTAAATAATTTATTTTACATTCGATTGTAAATATAGTCGTATAGTTAATTTTTCCTACTACTGGAAATTTAGGTGAATAAATTATAAATTTCATTTTAGTTTATTCGAAGGGTTAACCGTTAATTAGATTATTTATGATTTAATCGTAAATATAGTCTTATAGTCAATTTTTCCTACTGCAAGAAATTTCCGTGAACAAATAATACAGTTTATTAAAAACATTATCCAATAAATAATTGATTGGAACTGTTTGGGAATTGTCTAATGTTTTGATTGGTTATATTTGTAGAATTGCGACGAGGCATTTTCTTTTGTTTTATTTTTAGAACTGCACATTTTAAGAGAATTTAAATAGCATCATTCCCAGTTTGAAGCGGCTCGTGATTACGATCGCTTCATCCAGAGATAAGGTGTTATCCCGGCTATTAGTTCATTCTATATCTAAAAATTTATTTGTTAGGTCTCCGTTATTTCAACAGAACTAAAATAGTATCATTCCCCTATCTGAAGCGGCTCGTGATTACGATCGTCTCATTCAGAGATAATGTGCTATCCCGGTTATTAGTTTATTTTCCGTCTGAAACCCTCATTTGTGTTAGTCTCCGTTATTGTAAGTGAACTCAAATAGTATTATTCCCCTGTCTGAAGCGGCTCGTGATTACGATCGCCTCATTCAGAGATAGTGTGCTATCCCGGTTATTAAATTTGTTTTATGTAAAACTCCGTTATTCAATTGACATTAAATAGTATCATTCCCCAGTTTGAAGCGGCTCGTGATTACGATCGGTTCACTCAGGGATAATGTACTATCCCGGTTGTTAGTTGGTTTTACTTTCCAACCACTAGTGAGTAAACCTCTTATAGGGTCCCGGTTTCAGCTCTGGAATTAGTATTATCCCGAACCTGTCTCCTCGCATTCTCTGCAACCAATATGATATTTTGTTTTACTGAAGCATTCAATTACATTTGATTGTAAATACCAATTAGAAAATTTAACAGTTAATTTTTGCTACGACCGAAATAATACTGCCGAATAAAATAGCAAATTGCATTTTAACTCAACAACAGAATAAACAATTCAATAATAAACTTTTACTGCGACCGTGATAATTATAAGTATTGATTTCATCTTTTTTCTTTACGTCTGATTGAGACTACTCGAAAGTCATTTCCGTCCGTTTTGTTTGTTTATTTTTGTTCAGGGTTTGTACATATTACCGTGAGGGTGGGCGTTGAAATATTTAATTTCTTTTTTTTTATTGTAAATAGTTAACCACAATATATGTGTCAATGTTAACCTGCCGTATTACTGGTTGTTAATTCCTAAATTTATTTCCCCCTTATATTTCAGCTAGTGATTAATTCTGTACCAGCCCAAGCAACAATTAAAGCCCGTTACTCGTGGCACCCTATTACCTGTGTCTAAGTGACCTTGACCCCTGGAATTTTTCATCTCCATCTGTAGCTACCCGAATACTTTCGACGCCGTTTCGAAAGTTCGTGGAGTAAACCATCACCAAAAATCTGGCGCTCGAGAACCGCCCGTAACCAGCGTCATTCGTAAGGAATCATTTTCTCTGTGGCGAGAAAACCCCTTACAAATTTGGCGCCCGAGCAGGGACCTGGTTACCTAGTTACTTCCCGATAGGTAATCCCTTGCTATTTCCGCCCTGCCACTCTATTCGATACTTTTCTGTCTTGCTTTATTTTTTTTCTTAACCCCGTCTTTTTCAGACCCCTGTACGCTTAGTACGTACACTAGCCCGCCCCACTGTAAATTTAAGAACCTTGTTTTTCTTGCCGTCTATATAGCCCAGTAATAGACCAGATAACATTGACTAGCCGTAAAAGTATAGTAAATTAGAACTTGACAAACCGTTCACAATTAAGTACCAGAATTTCAACACCGCCTGGATTCCCATTTTTTTTGAAGAGACCGATTACTCTTCTTCTACCTTGCAGAATTTTTTTTTATTTTCTTTAATAAAGCCCATTCCGTAACGACAAAAACCCGCTCGTGTTCGCTTCTTCTTTGAGTTTATGTCCGAACCCACTACCGACGACATCTGGAAAACAGACACGGAAAACAACATATCTACGGAACTAAGAGTACCGACCGCCGAAACCTACGAAACAGACACATCAGAACCAACAGAGGTTCCATCTACGACCACTACCCAAGTATCCTGGGTATATCTATTAAAGAATCCAGATATCATCAAAGAACTAGAAAAGAATAAACTCGCTGTCAGTGGCACTATGCAGGAAACGAGGAAACATTTGGTTTCGTTTCGTCAGCAAATCCGAAAGACGGATTACTCCGATGTCATTACTTTTAGTCAAGTGGTCCGAGAATTCGAACTTCTAAGGAAGGAATTACAGGCCATACCGTCGACTAGCTCCGCTCCAAGGAATACCGCTCCCCGTTATCCATTACAATCTGAGCCTATCCGAAACTCCGTTCACGAGTCTACCCGATTCAAACCATCCGAGTTCCCCCGCTATTCTTCTCCCGATTCATCTCGATTCTACCAAGATAAGCCACCAATGACCGACAATAAACCCGTTTCCTCACCTGTCCCCACCGTCCGTAATCAGCCGCAAAGATTTGAACCACAACCATCCACCTCACGTGGAGAAGTGTTGTGCTGGAGATGT